TGATGAAGTTGAGATTTCAAATAAGACCAAAAGGAGAAATAAATAATAAATGTTCAGTCCTGTTTATCAAAGCACCGTATGTAGGCCAGGGACACACTTGAATCAATTCTCTTGCTTTTTATCATATCTCATCATGCCTTCCAACTTTATTACTGAGACACCTGGCATACATGCTAATATTGAACTTGTAGCGTCTCCTGCAGAGAAGGACTTGGTTCAAGGTGAGCGTATTTAGCTCATTGGAATGAACGTGCACCGAATTCTGTTTTACTATATGGGAAACGGTGTCCCACTGTTGATTTTTGTACTGAGTAACTCTACAAATGCTGGGCTAAAAACGGTGCTGAAAATTACCCATGTTTATTTTCTCTCTATATATATAAATGTATATTGCAGGGGTAAACAAACATATATTTAAAGTACTCCACCACACCTAGCTTTCCAGCGTGCTAGTGGATAGATTTGCAGATGTGACTTTCATAGTCTTTGTCTAATTTAAGTTCAGCTTAAAACAAGAAACAGTCCATACTTTTCCAAAGGAATAGGACATGTTAGTTGAATTTAGATCTGAAAAGGCATAGTTTTGGGAATTGGAAACAAGCTGTGTGCACATACACTTTCTGTAACTCTCTTGCACTTGTCTTCAACATACTGAGATAACAATTTCAGTGATTCTGAAAACCTATACTGCATCATCTAGATTTTTTTAAATAAAAAGCTTTTTTGTCTATTTAATAAATTGTTCAGACTCCTCACTTTGCTCTCATGATTGGTTCAGTGATCATACAACAGAATTGTGTATGATTATTAAAACCTTGATTATTTATGTCTCATTTAATTTTTTTTAAAGAATCAAGCTTCCAAGCAAGGTTAAAATTAGTTGTACAGTTAGCCCTCCATATCCATGGATTCTGCATCCGCAGATTCAACTAGCCATGACTCAAATAGCAAAAATCCAAAAGCAAAACATTATTTTTGCTGCACGCTGAGCCTTAAGTTACATCCTCCTATCATTTCATAGATACTCCAGCTCTCATTTGAGCTGTTTAATATAATGGTACCATTTTATTACGTTATTGTAAATAATGGGACTTGAGATCCATGGATTTTATTATTTACTGCGTTGGGGGGGGGGGGCGAAACTGAACCCTAGCGGATACCAAGGGTTTATGTACGTCAACAGCCATAAAAAAAATTTCCCCTCTTAGTCTTGGTTGTAATTGAATGGTTTCTACTGACGTTTATTTTAACAATTCAATATAATTTTATGTAATCTGTCTTTTACACTTTTTTTTGGTGGAGTTATCCATACTTGGCAGCTTCTGGGAATGAAACACATGCAACAAATCAGGAATGCCATATTTTAACTTTTCTTTACAGATCATGAGTATCAGGAAATATTTCCAGGAGTTGGTGACTCAGAAGATGTTTCCTCTGATAGGCTTACAGAGTTTTGTAACATATTTCCCATTTTTATTTATCGCATCAGAAGCAAACTGAGTGTACAGTTGGAATGTATTTAAAAAACACAAAGTTTAAAAAAACTTTGCATTATACTAAGTGTTCTTTGACCATTAGCTGACCACTTGGAGTGCCTCTAGTGTTGCTATACGGAGGTCCTCCATTGTGCATGTTGCAGAGCTCAGACTGCATTGTAGTAGGTGGTCTGTGGTTTGCTCTTTTCCACACTCGCATGTCATGTGTCCCCATTTCTTAAGATTGGCTCTGCATCTCGTGGTGCCAGAGTGCAATCTGTTTAGCGCCTTCCAAGTTGCCCAGTCTGCTGTATGCCCAGGGGGGAGTTTCTCATTTGGTATCAGCCATGGCTTGAGGTTCCAGGTTTTAGCCTGCCACATTTGGACTCTCACTTGCTGAGGTGTTCCTGCGAGTATCTCTGTAGATCTTAGAAAACTATTTATTGATTTAAGCCGTTGGCGTACTGGCTGATATCCGAACATGGGATGGGCCGGAGATGTCACTGCCTTGGTCCTTTCATTTCTGGCTGCTACTTCCCTGGCAGATGTCAGGTGGTGCAATACTGGCAAAACAGTATAATTTCTCCAGCGTTGTAGAGCACAGATACCATGTGATAATGCAACATGTCTCATTAATAGTCATATCCACTGTTTTACTGTGGTGAGATGTATTTCACATTGGGCGTGCATACTCAACAGCAGAGTAGCAAAGCAGAAGGACAGATATCTTCACTCTATCTGGTTGTGATCCTCATTTTGTGCCAGTCAGCTTTCACATATTGTTTCTAGCACCCACTTTTTGATTGATATTCAAGCAGTGCTTCTTGTAGGTCAGAGCACAGTCCAAGGTAACTGCCAGGTATTTGGGTGTGCTGCAATGCTCCCATAAGAAGATAGTGCAACCATCACTGCTAGTTTTGCCCCCCTTGAATGGCAAAGAGGACAAACCAGATGCTTTGAAATAAGCTGCTACTCACATCTAATGTTGCAGTTCCCTGACTCTTTCCTTCGCAGACTGTTTCTTATGACCCTATCAGGGGTCATTATTTCCTCTTTCCTTTGAGGCAAGTTGCTGTGATTTTACTGCTGCATTTCCCGCCATGCTTCGGTGGGTAATTTTTAAATGTTTAGACTTGCAAGTATGTGACTTCAGGCTTTTGGTGAATTACTTGATGAGGTTCCCTTCTTCCCGCGGGAAGTTTAACAAACCCTATGTTCGAATGTACAGGCAAGGATAGGAAATAAAAATAAACATTTGAATGTAGAGAGCAATCTAAATAGCATCTCTGCTCCATATGCTGTAGTATGCGCTGGAGACCCATTATAGCCCCTGGACCTTTTGTATACTAGCTCTTGAGTCCAGATACTGCTGTGTCCCATCTGCTATAATCTCTAAGATGCACAGTGCAGCTTTCCTTAGATTGTGACCTGTTATTTGCTGGTGCTTTTGATCTTTGCTGGAAAGGCAATATGCTATCCTGAGCTTCCCTCCTCCTCTTTCATTGCTGTAAACCACAAGATAAGGGGAAAGTGCTGCATTTTTGTTCACATTTTAAAACTGTATAGACACTTTAAAGACCTTTTATTAAATAACTTTTTGCTATTTCCTGTTCCTATTTCCTTTTCTCTCTGTGGGATCTTTTTGTGGCATGGAGGTTTAAAGCAATGTGCAACTAGGTGAAAGTCCAAGGAAAAGAGGCACGGACCTGAAAACTGCTCAAAATTACTCCCACATCATCTCATTGATTTACCATTTAGGTGGGAACCCTGTTGATAAGAAGTCTAAAATGACATGAGGATCCTTAGGGCTTCATAATTTCTTTCTCTTCTTTTAAAATAACTTTGCGCTGTGGTTATTTGAAATAGGGCTTTTGGCTTTTAGGTCTACCAAAGTATTTCACTGTGGGCCCTTCCAGATAGACCCTATATCCCAAGATCTGATCCCAGGTTTTCTGTTTATCCCAGATTATCTAACAGTGCAGACTCATATAATCCAGTTTAAAGCAGAACACTTGGGATCAGATCCTGGGATATAGGGCTTGTCTGGAAGAGCCTTTAGTGTTGATATTTATAAGGAGAGCCATATTTCTAGTTTTGGCTCTGATTGGTCATATTAACACATTTAAATGGTTCATTTAAACTCATTTTTTCAGCTTTTCTTTTTTTAAAAAGGAAGTGTTGAGTTAATGCTTTGGAAGCATTTTCTTCTATTGATGTTTTCATATTAAGCAATTCATTAGTCTCCTTGCTATGCAAATATTGCACTTGTTGTGGAACGTCAGAGTTTGCAAAGCACAATTCTGGTAGAATATGCTTTCAAATGAATTATCTGCCACCACTAAAGAACTCATAATTTATTTAAAAATAGAATGTTCTTTTTGTGTGAACAGGTTCTTGTTTCATGGATTGGCTCAAAGCTGAGAGTATGTGTTTGATTTATACGCTGTAGGGACTAATGGGAGAAACCAGCTTCCGTCTTGCAGAGTAATTAGAGAAGATAAAACTTTGAGTCCTGCTGTGTGTTTTCTAATGAGAGTGTAGTTTTTGCAGTATGGGCAACTGAGGGGGTACTGTCAAAAGTCAATTCATCATTATCATACTGCATTTTCAATATGAATCAAAGTCTTTGTGTCCTGTGTTTCTTATCCTGGTTAGGTGGCATTGAATGACTTCTTAAATGTATGCAGCTATGTTTGTGCTCTTTCTCAAATAATAAAAATGATGATTAGGATATGTTGGTTCAATGCAAATATTGTCTTCCCACCTCCTCCAAATCATGTTCCTTCATCCTTCAACACAGATCTCAATATCTGATATGTATTCATCAAAGATAAGTTTATATTCGTTGGTTCAATGCAAATATTGTTTTCCCACTTCCTCCAGATCATGTTCCTTCATCTTTCAACACAAATCTCAATATTTGATATGTATTCATCAAAGATAAGTTTACATTTGTATGTATGTGAACATACTTAGCACTGAAGACATGGAATTTAGATTCTTTCAGAAGTATTCTGGTTTGACAATGGTAGATATGTACTCCTTTGTATCAAACAACAGTGATCATAACAAAAACAATTACCACCCACTGTGTTTGCATGTTTTGGTGGAACTAAATGTAAGTTTGATGTTCCTTATTATAAGGGAGGTATCTTATTTCAGGGCTTTGTAAGCTTTTCCTTTTGTGTAGACTGAATAACAATACAAAATACCTTGTATTTTGTGGTGTGGGATTATCCACACTGCTATCTTATTGCTATTTTGAAAATCTGGCAGCAATAAAAATAAAGTGAGAGACAGTAGGAGGTAACGTTAATATTTGGAAGCTTCTGCCACCATTATTTGAAATCACATTTCTCTTTATGGGTCAAAACTATATATTTAAAGGCATCTTTCTTTAGCAGGTGCTGATGGTTGTCGAGAAACTGCATTTCACTTCTGCTTATAGTTATTTGTTCTTTTGTTATACAATACATGCTTGTTTTGAATAAGGAAACATTGGTTCTCTTGTGTTTCATTTTTTAGATGATGGCACAGACACAAGGCTTTGGGAGAAAGTACATTAAAGCCTTTTTGAAAGGCTTCTTCGTTGCTGTTCCTGTGACTGTGACTTTCCTCGACAGAGTGGCTTGCATTGCGAGAGTAGAAGGGGCTTCGATGCAGGTGACAAACTCCTTCTCTGCCCTGTTCATTTTCACCTGATCAGAGTCTGAGTTGTAAATAATTGACACTCCAATTTCAAAGGCAGGATAAAGATGTAATTTTCAGTCTTTCTAAGTTAAACCCCAGCTTTATGGAAAAGGCTTTTTCATCACGAAGACAGCAATTTTTAATGTGTTCAGGGTTGAAGCTGGTGCTCCTTGCATTTGTAAAACTCATCCATTTTAGTTGACACATAAAAAAGTTTCAAACTTTTTCTTTGCAATATATTTCTTTGAGATGCTTGCTGTTTCTAAGAAATTTAAAACATCCCAGATGGATTATTAGATTTAAGAAAAGTATTGCCAGAGAGAACTTAATGTCATCAAGAAACTAGATAGCAAAGTAATGTATTAATGCTGAAGTTATAAATAAATAAATAAAATTTTATTTATATCCCACTCCATCTCCTCAAAGGGACTCAGGGCGGCTCACAAAAGCACTCAAGGCACCACACAGAAGAATAAAATTACATAGCACCAGAACAATACATAAATTAACTGAATCCAAACCATGGATAACGTCAATTGATAAAATCAAGCGTTTAAAATATCCAAAACACAGTCAAGCCTGTGGGTCATTGGGCTTCTTCAGTCACAAACTAAAGTGCTAAGCAACAATGATTGACATCATCACATACAACCATAATATACTACTCCAGGACAAAGACTTGTTTAAACAGCCATGTCTTTAGACCAGACCAGAAGGTTTGGAGAGTTGGGGCTAATCTAATTTCTCTAGGGAGGGCATTCCAGAGATGGGGAGTCACCATCGAGAAGGCCCTCTCTCTCATCCCCTCCAATCATACCTGTGATGGTGATGGGACCAAGAGAAGGGCCTCCCAGCAGATCTCAGGGCTCATCTCAGGGTTTATAGAATGAGATGCGGTCTCAAAGATAGGTTGGACCCGAAGCGTCTAGGGCTTTATAGGCAATAACCTGCAATTTGAATTGGACCGGAAGTTGTTTTTTTTTTGGGGGGGGAATGTGGTCTGTATGGAATTGTTTACTCTGGCAAACCAAAATACCACATGTCATAGAATCTAAGACATACTGTTTAAGGGACTTCAATAATGGGGTGCACCATAGATTTGATGGTGTTTTATGTTTGCCAGTTGTTGTTTTTTTTAAACCCTACCTTACCTCTGAGAGAGGACAAAGAGCAAGAGCCCCAGTCCCAACGGCTCTGCCAGCCCCCACCATTTGTCTTCCGGCAAACACTGTTTATTGTGTGGCTGAGCTAAGCGCCGCTTCCTGTTTTTGCTGCTTCCCCAACCCTAAGCCTAACCCTAACCCAAAGACATATTAGAAAAGACTCATGCAGACAATAAGACTTCCGGGTTTCTTCACACTCCCTCCTCACCACATAGAAAAGTTGCAATACAAAGCCACATTAAAGCAAAACCAAGGTATTGTGCAGGTCGAGGAAATCCTTAAAAAATAGTCTAAAATAATCTCTCTCTCCCCCCCACCCCCATTTAAGCTTCAAAAACAAGGCGTGCCTTACATTCAATGGTGCTTTAGATTTGGTAAAATATGGCACTTGTGTATTTCTGCAAGTTACTTGGTATTAAAAAGATACACACTTCCTTTTCTTTTGTGCTTTTCCTTCATGCCTTCTCTAATCCTGGGCTCATTTTGTGAGAGTTTTCCTTTTCAAGCCATGTCTGAAAAGTTAAAACATAGTTGTTCTAGTTGATGTCTGCACATAGAACAAGAATGTGAAATGTGTTGCTGAATTTCCAGCTTCAATTATTCCTCGCCATTGACTATACCAGTGGTTCCCAACTTTTTTTTTTTTTTTAACCAGGGACCACTTTCCAACATTAATACCAAAGGGGTTACAAATCCGTTTTTGGTCAACTTTAGATTTGGTTTGGTTATTGCGGATGCTGGTTCAGAAAACTGCATTGAATCATAGAATCAAAGAGTTGGAAGAGACCTCATGGGCCATCCAGTCCAACCCCCTGCCAAGAAGCAGGAATGTTGCATTCAAATCACCCCTGACAGATGGCCATCCAGCCTCTATTTAAAAGCTTCCAAAGAAGGAGCCTCCACCACACTCCGGGGCAGAGAGTTCCACTGCTGAACGGCTCTCACAGTCAGGAAGTTCTTCCTCGTGTTCAGGATAGATCACATCAGCTCTAGTTTCTGATACAGAACATATGCCAAACAGTAGTTGCCATCTGCTCGCCCACAGAAAACCATATTTAATATTTTTGTCCTCGTGCCCCACTGGTAGTCCATGGCACACAGGTTAAGAACCACTGGACTATATGGATTAGGGTTCAAAGGAGATGCAGCCTATCAACATCTGGACATCCCTGCCCTTGTTTGTAACAAGCATTTAGTTCTCCTTCTTCTGTGTTTATGGACACAATGTCGTCTCCCTGCTCTTCTTCCAAGAATATCAGTGATTGTTGCTGTTCTGCTCCACCCCAAAAGGAGTTAAGATTCTAAATTCTGTCAATTAACTCCAAGTTATATGTTAAGGTTTGATAAAATATGGAGTTTGATGCACATATATCCACTTTGCCTAGTTTTCTGCACAATCGTAAAATGTGTTTTCCAATTGAGAGTTCAGGAGGTATGTAAGTATGTATTGATTTCATTTATATGTCACTTTATCATGAAAACTATTACTCAGGGTGGCATACAACAAGTAAATATCAATTACATTAGAATCTCAATCAAAATATAAAGACATTCAAAACCACATATTAATAGAAAGAAGTCAATGGCAGCAAAGCCTGTAAAAATCCTTTTTGACCACAAGTCAGCTTTGCTGCCAAAGGTCTTTCTAAGTAAAAATATCTTTGCCTTCTGATGGAAAGATAGCATATATAGAGCCAACTTCACCTTACTTGGATTTTCATAGCCTGGGATTGATAGCCAAGTACACCTCATGCCTTCACTAAACATGGTACTGACATCATCCCTTTGAAAAAGGAAAAAGGGATTAGATATTAAAATGTATTAATAGTAACGGTCTGTTCCAGGGGTCCCCAAACTATGGAGTGCCCTAAAGCCAAGGGAAGGCAGGCTCGGCCGGGGAAGGGACAGGCGGCACTGCCCTGAAGCCGCGCTGCCTGCCCCTTTCCCCACCTTCCCTCGCTTCCCCCGCCTTCCCCTTACCTGCCTCGCGCTGCCCCTCGTGCAGCCATCTCCTGCCATGCGTTGCTGTGGCCCACATGGCTGTTCTGTGTGGGAGGTTTGGCCCAATTCTATCGTTGGTGGGGTTCAAAATGCTCTGTGTGTAGGTGAACTATAAATCCCAGCAACTACAACTCCCAAATGTCAAGATTCTATTTTCCCCAAACTCCACCAGTGTTCACATTTCGGCAGATTGAGTATTCTTGAGTTTGGTCCAAATCCATCATTGTTTGAGTCCACAGTGATCTTTGGATGTAGGTGAACTACAACTCCAAAACCAAAGGACACTGCTCACCAAACCCTTCTAGTATTTTCTGTTGGTCATGGGAGAACTGTGTGCCAAATTTGGTTCAATTCCATCGTTGGGGGGTTCAGAATGCTCTTTGATTGTAGGTGAAATATACATCTCAGCAACTACAACTCCCAAATGACAAAATCAATATTTTGAGTGAAGGACATACATTGGGTTGTTAGGTGTCCAGTAGATTTTGAGTTCTGTTAATCCCACAAATGAACATTACATTTTTATTTATATAGATTTATTTCCTATATTTATGTTTTTGTGATTAATCACTATGCTTTATGTTCAGATTGTAACAAAAAAAATACATCATGCATATCAGATATTTACATTACGATTCATAACAGTAGCAAAATAAGACATCTGCAGTGTGCATAGGAATTTAGTCACTGTTTTTTAAAAAAAAAAAAAAAAAACAACAACTATAGTCCGGCCCTCCAATGGTCTGAGGGACAGTAATCTGACCCCCTGTTTAAAAAGTTTGAGGACCCCTGGTCTATTCTGATGTGAAGTGGCAATGTACATGAAAACGAAGTTCTGTACAAAATTCTGGTTTCCTTATCACAAGACAGAATATGGTGTTTTGCATGAATTTGTCCCCTTCAGGTGAAGAGTTTTCCATCTTTCCTTGTTGTAGCAAGTAACTGTAAAAATGCTGGGTTGTCTATAGGATAGTGTTTCTCAACCTGGGGGTCGGGACCCCTGGGGGGTCGAGACGGGGTGTCAGAGGAGTTGCCAAAGACCATCAGAAAACACAGTATTTTGTGTTAATCATGGAGGTTCTGTGTGGGAAGTTTGGCCCAATTCTATCGTTGATGGGGTTTAGAATGCTCCTTGATTGTAGGTGAATCCCAGCAACTACAATTTCCAAATATCAAAGTCTATTTTCCCCAAACTCCACCAGTATTCACATCTGGGCAGATTGAATATTCGTGCCAAGTTTGTTCCAGATCTATCATTGTTTGAGCCCACTATGCTCTCTGGATGTAGGTGAACTACAACTCCAAAACTCAAGGTGAATGCCTACCAAACCCTTCCAGTATTTTGTTGGTCGTGGAAGTTCTGTGTGCCAAGTTTGGTTCAAATCCATTGTTGGTGGAGTTCAAAGTGCTCTTTGATTGTAGATGAACTATAAATCCCAGCAACTACAACTCCCAAATGACAAAATCAACCCCGCTCCAACCTCACCAATATTTAGATGTGGCCATATCGGGTATTTGTGCCAAATTTGGTCCAGTGAATTAAAATACATCCTGCGTATAAGATATTTACATTACGATTCATAACAGTAGCAAAATTGCAGTTAAGAAGTAGCAATGAAAATAATGTTATGGTTGGTGATCATGAGGAACTGTATTAAGGGGTTGTGGCTTTAGGAAGGTTGAGAACCACTGCCAAAGGGTTTTTTGTTGGAAGTTACTTGTTGATGGTAGAAGAGAAACTTTGTGGAAGCAGCCTGTCGGAACTGAGACACCTGTATTAGTGCATTTTGGCCTCCGGTTCAAGGAAAA